AATGAACAGCAGACCCCAATCTTAGCTAAAGGAATATTGGCAACTGATTGCTGCTAGGTGAGGAACAGCTGATCTTCCTAAAACAAGGATTCTAGACAAGCTGACTATGATTCAGAAGACAGACAAGCACTGGGGAGTGGCTGGGGGCACCAACAACACAGTAACAGGGATGACAGAGTATATGGGCTCCAGTGTGTGGGAGGGGAGAGGCTATGGGAGGGTGCCATTTGGGAAGTGGGTATGTAGATGAATAAGATTGTGTGGGATGTTCTGTATGATATACATGTAAAAAATTCAACAAATAAATGAGTTTTGAGGAGGAAGCATAAAAATTTATTTCATGTTAATTAGTAGAGGTGATAAACATTACCATTGAAATCTACCTGAAGACTTTATACCGACTTTATATCCATGCTCAGGTGCCAAGGATCTGGGTGTAACCGACTGTGACTAGTAATAATCACATACACAGAGATTAAAGTCACGTGTGCAAACATCTAAGCGTTAAAAATGTAGGACACAGCATATTTTAAAACGAAATGGAGATCTTCTTTAAAGGTTAAAAAGTCATTGAATTGTATGCCTTGCAGGGTGTATACTGAGTTCAGAATCGTATGAATGTATTAATTCAACTGTGAACCTAAAAATTTTGAAAGAGATGTATCCTTGCTCTGGAATGTGTTGCTGAATATGTTAAAGCTGTAATGAAATGCTTCTTCTAATCATGTGGTTATTAAATTTAAAAAAAATTAAAAAAAAACACAGGGGTCCTGGAAATGTAATCTTGCACAAGGGTCCAGAGTAAGTGACAGATAGCCCAGGAAGTCTGGTAACTAGGTGCCTCGTGAGTACCTCCTCCCACTGGCTCCCACCCAGTAGTTGCTGGGAATCTGCCTCATCCAAGCCTCACAGCACTGGTCCACAGGCTAACCCAATGTTGTAGGAAGGACAGTCTGCTGTTCTAACTAGCAAATGATAAGATTCCTATACTTGTCATAATATTATAAATATCATGAATGGATTTTTTGTTTTTACAAGACAAGCCCAGGCCAGCCTTGAACCCACAATCTTCCTGAGTTCTGAGATTACAGGTATATACAACCATGCCCCACAAAGAATTTTTTTTCTAGAAAATGGGAAAATATTCACATAACCTTGGATATCAGCACTGTTTACCTGCTCACAGCAAATCTCAAATTTAGTAAGAATTTATTTTACTCAGTAAAATTACTGATTTAGAATAAAGTAGAATTGAGGCTTTTAATCTTTTGATTTCTTTTTAAAAATTAGAGAACTTTGAAAATATATTAACAATAGTCAACATTTAATGAAAGAATACCAAAGCTTGCCTGATGGAAAATTATTCCACAATTTTCTGAAAGCTTGTTAAAATAACTAAGTACCCAAATAATTTTAGCTTATCTGAAAGGGGAAAGCATAAAATTGAGGGGAATTTTTCCTGATTTCAAATTACAGAACTTTTCGAGGCTTTTAATCTTTTGTTTTCTTTTTAAAAATTAGAGAACTTTGAAAATACATTAACAATAGTCAACATTTAATGAAAGAATACCAAAGCTTGCCTGATGGAAAGTCCCTTCCACAAACACTGTCATTCAATTCTCAAAACCTACAGGGAAATCAACAAACAATGAATAATTGAGCCTCACTTGGGCCAGAGCATATTCAGAGAGGAAGAAATGAGGGATTGCTAAACACATCAGGGAGTGCTCTGGGAGGGGGGATTCCTGAGGACCAAAGAAATCCCAGCACTCTGAGAGATTGGGGAAGGGCCACTTCCTCCTTCCTGAGTCTAGTTCTTCATTTAGGACTCAACCGTGCAATGCCTGGCCTTGCTGAAGTTCACACACACACACACACACACACACACACACACACACACACATACACACATGCACCATTCCTGTGTTAAATATTTTATAAGGCTGACTGATTAAAACTCTGTGATTGTGGAGAGTTACATTGTTGTAGATCCAGAGCCAAATTATCCTGGGCAATTTTTAGTCCCCTTAATTCATTGCCCACCCCTGAGTCTGTATCTAACGTAATATTCCTTCAACTATCAGGTAAAACCTTTGGAATGTATTAACTTGCAAACCACTAGCTTCCACCAACCCCAAAACTAAGAATGTCATCAGATAGATTCACAGACCTAGAGCAATTTCCCCTCTTTGCCCCACTACCTGAGGACCCCAGCTATACATTTGGAAAACGCCTTGATTTATGACTTCCTTTTGTTTTGTGGCTATAAAAAGTTCATGTAACATCTGTCACCCACAATGAAACGTATTATTGAGGGTCACCTTGTGAGAGACTAAATCCATAATAAGCAGACAGGGCCACTAATAATTTTTTAAATGGCATACTTTCTGCTTCTTAGTTTGAGACAAAGGCCTGGTGACCCCTGCCATTGTCAATGTAAGCCACCAGCAGAGGAACCACAGCTAGTGGGAGACTAGAATGGATCACCCAGCTGTGCAACCTCCCAAGTTTGTAATTTGGAAGCAACCAAAAGCAAATGAAGATGGAAGATTTATCTAGATTTTTCTTAACACAGTCACTTTGAAAGATCAACAATTTTTCCAAAATTCTAAGCAACATTGCCACACAACCTAAGGAATGTCTTTGAAAGACAAAAAAATGTGCCTGTACATACATATACACATATACATATGTGCACATACATATAAGTATACAGAAATACATATACCATACATGCACACACTGCACACATACACATGCATACATACACACACATACAGATATGAACACACCACACACATACATACAATATATGCACAACACATATACATACACATAGCATATATATACCACACACATACACATACACATATATACACACCACACACATAGACATACACATACATCCATATACACACATACACAGACATACACACATACACACTCACATGCAACTGTAAGCTTTATAAATTCTGTAATATGAACTGCCCAAAATATTCAATCTGTAGAGAAAAAAATGTAGGTAATCGAATGCCCAGGCCTAAGGGTAGAGGAGATTGGGAGAAATAAGGAATGGGTGCTGTGGAGACAGATGTTTCTTTTTAGGGTGATGAAAAAAAATGTAATTGATTATGATGCTCAATTTCAGTTGTGATTTACAACTCTGTGAATGTCTCAAAACTATTGGGCTATATACTTTAAATGAGTCAGTCATATGGTGGTGTGAATTAATTCCCAATACACTTTTTTTCCTAAAAGTATTAGGCCAGGCGTGGTGGCACATGCCTTTAGTCCCAGCACTCGGGAAGCAGAGACACGTGGATCTCTGTGAGTTCTAGGCCAGCCTGGTCTACATGGTGAGTTCCAGGACAGCTGGGACTACAGGGAGACTCTGTCTCAAAAAGACCAAAAAAAGAAATGTGTACTAACAATCCAATTTTCTTCACATTTGCTTTGTAGAAATAAATAGCTGGTTTGAAATTTTATGCAAAGGTTTATATATCATCACCTCATTTAATCTCACAAAATGTTTATGAAGTTGTTGTAACTTCCCCTTAATAAAATGAATGAACATAGAAAAGAAAATTTATGTGAACTCCGTAAGACCTACAAGAGTCAAAGTAACTTTGAAAAGAACAAAGTTGAACTTACAGTAACTTCAGGGCTTTCTCTGCCCTGTTGTCCTTGAGGACACTGACCTGAAGAGTCAGAAAGGACAGTGAAACAGGACAAACCAAAACAGGAACGACACGCCATCATTAGATCAGCTGAGATCTCTTTTTAATGGACAAAAAGATAAGAAAGTTCATCCTATACAAAGGAAAAGAAGTGGTCAAGAAAAACTACTCCCATGCAAATCCAGACAGCAAAGTTTCCAGAAAGACTTTAATTCGACCATGTGAAATGAAGAGAACTAAAGGGAATATGTCTAAAAAAACTAAAGGTAAGTATATTAGGTGTCTGGGCCACCACAGCCAAATGCTATGCACTAGATGTCTTAATAAGAATATCTTTTCTCACTGTTCTGGAGGCTGGAGGACTGTTATCAGAGTATTAGGTTATCAGAGCTCAGAGATAGGAAGGAGCATCTTCCTGGCATGCAGATGGTCTTTCTTCACTGTGTCCTAATATAACAGAGAGCGTGCTCTGGGTCTCTCTTGTAACTTTAATTAATTCCTTAAAGAACCTGTCGTTGATACAGTCACATAGGCAGTTAGGACTTCAACAGCTGAATTATGGGATAGCACAACTCAGCACCTCAAAATTCAAGTTCTTCTCTTCTGTAAATTATACGAATTCTATCCCAACAGTACCCAAAGTCTTAACTCATTTCCATGTCAGTTCTGAAGTCTAAAGTACAAGGCCTTAGCTAAACAGCAGCTAAAGCAAATATGTGTTTCTTAGACTCTTTTTGAAGACTCCAGCTAGAGAATCCCCTGCAAAGGTGGCCGCACCACAGAGGCAGTGGTTAGGGCCATCTTAGACCAGAGAAAGCAGAGAAGTGGCCACACCCTTTGAAACCTTGGAGGAATCAGCCCTG